TACCTTCAAAGATTTTCACTTTTAGTAACTTGTTACACGGCTGGTTGGATTACAAATTGCATTTGATTATCAGTGTGATCTTGGAGTCTGATACATCCAGTTAGATATATGTTTCCAAGTATTGCTAAAGTTTCTATCGATTTATAACGTTTAAAACAGCGATTTATGGCACTTTGAAAGCTGCTATTATAGATTAAATGCTTTTATCAACGATGATTTAACTCAAAGAGAGCTTTTTTAACATACAGAAATAGTCTATTCCATTATAATAATGAAGCTCAGTCTCTAGCGTATTGCATCTTACTTTGCAACGTAATTGACGGGCGGTACCAAATAAGAACCAATCTAAATACGTGATAGACTTTATTGAATCGTTTAGAACTTCTCTACAGATATAAAAATTTACAGAGTTCTGTATTAATTATATATAAACTCACTCGATAATTAGACATCAAAAGTCTTTAGCATATTGCAAAGTAGTTTGGTGGCCATATAACTCTTTATATATATTTTCGGAAATTACTAGGGAAAATTTTTACTAAATAAATCACAATTTAGTTGTAGTTATAACTCGTAAAATTCACTGAACTATCTCAGTTTAAGTGGAGTCCATTTTAAGTCCATTAGCCAATTAGGTGGACCACTGAAACAGAAACCTGTGTTAAAACTGACAGACTGAATCGGTTCTGCTTTACTTTATCTCTTCTATGACCTGGTTGTTAAATAGTTAAGTGTTGTCGCTGGTAATAACATAAGTAGCTTTGCTGAGATTAATAGAAGGTACTTAGTGCCTTGATTACCTTACAGAGACTGAAGTCACTTCGCTCCTCATTCGTTCTTTCAATTGCTTATTAAGGAATTCGGCTTTTGACAACGTTATACCGATTATACTAATTTGTTTAGCTGAGTAATAAAGAAATTAAATATTCTAAGAATTACTGCTGAAGCTATGATTATTGATGATCCCGTTTGCGAGCAAAGAAGCGAAACATTCGGATCGATGACGCATTTCTCACTTTTATCGCTCTGTTCTCCAGATAATAAACTGCTAGAAGTATGTTTGTGCTTGTAACTGCAACAGTTGTTACTGTATAAGTATTGCCATGCCACAATATTAATTGGGGATTAACCACTTTTCATCAGTAACTCGTTCCATTTACTTCTGTCTTCTAAAAGTTTAAATTATCAATTGAATAAAAAGTAAAATTGAGAAAAGAAAGAATAAATAAATCCGTCTTTAAAAGGTTCGTTTCAAATAGTTACATTACAAACTGATTGAAAAAGCGAAGATTTCGTGGACTTTTGCCACCTGGGACCACTTTGAATCATGCCATGGGACACACCCGTTACGTTTCGATTGAAAATATGTAAAAGAAAGAAAGTTAGATGGGAACTAGATAAACTTTTCTTCTTCGTAGAAGGAAACAAAAAGGAAAAAAGAAAATAAGAAAGAAAGAAAGAAAGAAAAAATACTAATCCAGCCTCTACTTCTGTTTCTTAGACTCTAGGGAACGAGTCTTGTTTTTGTGTTTAAAATAAGGGAATTCCGAGGATTTTTCTATTCTTAAAAATTTTTGGAAAAGAGTTGTGAAAAACTCAAAACATTTTGACATACTTTCATCAGGAATTGGTTGTATATTTATTAAATTTGACATATTTTTTTTTAAAGTCTCCAGTGTGACTTTTTTGTATTTTCGAAAATATTTCCATGTAACTTGAAGTTGTCTGTCCAAACTTGTCTCTCTCTTGTCAAATTCTTTTATTTAGAAAGTCCTTTCACTGATCTTTCCAGTTTTCTACTTATTTTTGATTTCTCTACAGTTTTCTTTTTACTCTACGTACAAAATTTCCATAATATCTTTTTCTCATATATTTTTATCTTTTTATTTATCATTTATAACTTTATTAAATTGGCCTCTATAGCAATTTTTAATCGCTTTTAAATGGGAGGAATATAAAATTTGCAAGCATACAATCATATAACGTAATTTATTTTATAAAGCAATAAATATTTTAAACAAATCTAGAATACAAACATCAATTAAACAAATATTTAACCTGTGATTTAACTTTCAGGAAAATAAAATAAATTTAAGATATGAGAGCGCGTTAAAGTTTAAAAAAAAAAAAAAAAATTGATCCAAGTTACTGATCAATCTCCCTTTCTTTCGTTCTATGTCATTAACGTATAGAGGGCATTTAAAGAATTTCCGGCCATCCAGTCACCTTCACAATCAATACATGTGTAGTATACAGCTCTGTCGGTTAGATAAGACCGCTGCTATCCATCATTCCAACACAAATATCTGTATTCCATAAACATCTTTATGCGCCACAACCAACTAATTTTATCCTGTAAAAGATAGTTTTTTAAATGGAAATACCTCTATATATACAGGCTATATCTGTAAAAACTAAGCCATTTATCATAAATTATTTTTATCAATTTTTTTTTTTATCAAATTCTCTTATCATTTTAACTTAATGAGATTAACATTGAAAATTAATAACTGTATTTTTTCCTCTAATTTTTTTCGTTTTATACATACTTATATATGTGTGTGTGTGTATGTATGTATGTATGTGTGTGACGTATTCTTTCCATTAGATAAATTAAACTTTTGGAATAAAAATTTTATTTTTTTTCTAAATATTTTCCATTAAATTAAAGCTTCTTTTCATCTTTTGTTTACTTTATTAAGTTGAAAACTATTCTAAGAAGTATATTGAATTTATTTTATTCTAATTAATATCCCGAGAAGTTTCTTATACGTAGGTATGAGATAATAAAGACCTGTATTTATGTAAAAAAAAATTCAACCTCTTAAAATCACGTGACGTTCTATCACGTTTCTTCCGTCAAATGACTTTCATTCCGTTCTCCCCCCCTCTCTCTCTCTCTCTAAGATGATGATAAATGACGTGGCATCATCTTTGACTAGATTCATGCTGGTGTTTTGTAAAGTCAAAATCATTTCCATATCCCATAAAGTCGAGCGTGTTTCTAGTGTTTCCTGCCAGCATGTCTGATTCATTGTTACACAGAATCCAACCGGATACTGGAGTAGAAAAGGGAAAGGATGTTTCACAATCAGAATTCTCTTTTCCTGTCGAAATATTGCAATCGATAGGACACGCTGTGATATACGTAATTTGTAAAGAATTTTCTACTCTAAGCACGAATTTCTAATAATATTAAATATATCTTTTCCTCTTATTTATTTATTTATTTATTTTTTTAAAGTTAATCATAATAAAAGTAAATGCATCTTTAAAGGGGGAGTAAATTCACAAATAAAATTAAAACTTAAGCATTTAAATATATTGGCAATTTTATTAATGGAGTGTCAACAACAATGAAATTATACGAGTTTATATTTAAAATAATAAGGTATATATGTATACTGTATACAGTATTATATTAGTATATTATTATATAGTAATAATATACATATATATACTGTATATAAAGGATATTGCATACAGTATACTATATATAATATCCTTTATATACTGTAGAATAGAAATCGCTCGTTATAATCACCTTAGCACCCATCTATGGTGATAACACTAACCGAATGATAGCATTAATTTAAGTAAGTAAATATGAGTGTAATTAGGAAATCTCACGTTAAAACAATTAAAATATTAAAATATACAAGGCTAAAAACAAATTAATTCGAATAAAATCTTAAAAAAAATTTAACTGAAAGTTGAAAGGGGGGATTTTAAAATGATAACTCTTTTCGATTTGTCTAAAAGTTGTATAGAGTTAAAGAGAATATAAGAAAAGTTTAAGCGATAAAAGTCGCATGTTAAAACGGCAATCGTAGAGTAGTACCAACGACTTTATTATTATTCAATTTGTAGCTGGATGCACTTCTTACATCAATGCACCACAGTTGCGTCATAAAATGCTTCTCTTGTATGTTTACAACTCTCCAAACCGTTTATATGGCCGAAGAACACTTAAGAAGCCACCGTTATGGGAAATTAAAGAGTAAGTGTTGATGCCTGCTTCGTTTTTAAGTATCCACTGTAGCACCGCTTTGATTATGTACAGAAAGAGTAAGTTTATATTAAACAAAGTTTGATAAAATTTAATTATTCACGCTAATAAACTTTATTATTTATTAAAATGATGTTTTGAGTTCTCATTAGAAAATTTTTCAATTAGTAATAAGAGCATTCGAGAAGACTTATCCATTTTTATTATTCTCTTGACCGAACTTGATGTTTAATTTTAATTAAAATATTTTTGATTAATTAACTTTTAAGTTTTATAATTAAAACGATTAGAAATTATAATCATTATTTTTATACGAATTTAAAATATATGCTCTCCATCTCAAATTAGTAATGTCTTGCCCCTGTACATCATACTTTTCCTGATAACAACGGAGTCGTGCCGGTCATCTATTTAAATCTCCGTTGCGGAGAAAATGTTTGAATTAAAATCACGTGACTTCCGGGCTTTACCGGAAGTTCATATATGGTTAATCGAGGCTTCCTGTCCCTAATCTTCCCATATCTGCTCTCGATTTTTATCTATTTCTCGAGATTAAGGAAGAACAAACTAGTGAGAGTCTATTTATAGATCTACGATTTTTTTTAAATTGCAGCCAAAAAAGTATACATTTTATCGTGAATTAGATATATTAAAACAATTACATTATTATTATTACTTTTTTAATAGAAAAATCCATATTTTTCTATTAAATTTTTTCGGATAAAATATATATCTTCTTGTTTTAAGAAGTAATTAAAAATCGATAACCTATTTTAAAATAATATTTTTATATTTGCATATATATATATATATAATAAAATTATTTTAAACTAAATGAAAATTTTCTATATATAAAACTAATTTGATTTATAATTCAACATTTCAATCTTAATAACGCGATTAAAGTTGAAATATTTCGTGTCACGAATGATGACATCTGTCACGCGAATAATGAGTCACTTTATGGATCAGTACATGAAAAGCCAGACTATCGAACACGTTATTCATTTATTCACCGCAATTCTTGCAAGTATTTTTTTTTTCTCTCTTTTTTTTATATATATCTTCGTGTTTTTTTTCCTATCAATATTAACAAACAGCACGTAATAATACATTTTTGCATAGTCGTTGTGGTCCCACTCTTCTCTTTATCAACATCTGTCACCGACTCTTGCACATTGTTGCCAATGGCATGGGACACATTGACGAATATTGTCGATGAAGTTTTGCCATGTTGTCTAGTAAAAGTTGATTATCCGGTTCCAGAATGTACGCTTCGTGATAATGTCGCAATGCCTGTTGACATTTTCCCTGTAAAAGATAATTTTCCAGCGTAAATTGTCACATATATAAATATTTTATTTCGTATTATCTAAAACGAGAAAGGGTATACTATTATATTTATATCTATGCGTTTAAAATAGTACAGGAAATGCTCTTATCTATAAAGTATTAGAATTTAAAGGTTTTGTACATCTAAACTGAAGTCATGTACATCAGTTTGAAGAAAATAAAATGTGTTATCTCATTTTTTCCCCCCATCTCTGGTGAGACTGTTGGTGTCTTTTCTCAAAGAGGATTCCAATCAATCTCATTTTCTTTCCGCAAAGATGCTCCTAAAATGATCTATCATAATTCTTTTTCAGGAGAAAAGAAAAAAAAAAGAATTTAATCAGTCTTACTCTCAACTAAAGACATTCACTCCCAAGTAAGACTGATTAAAATCTAAAGTAATGTCATATTTTTCTTTTTTTTAGTCTAAGAAAAAATGACGTGCCGATCAGAAAAAATAGACTATTCATATATTTTTTCCCTTCTTCTTAGAGGAGTCGTGGACAAGATAGAACATTTATTTTTATTCCATATTTTTATAGAATGAAAAACAGATGTAACTTATGTAAAACGATCGACTAGTTCGCACGTTACTGTCTATAATAAGAAAGTATTACTTTTGATCACGTTATAATTTAAATATAAGTTAATATAAGAAACATTTCGTGATATATTTTAAGTTAAAATGAAGTTTAATGAAGGTTAAAAAACGAGAAGTTTTAACCATATTCATTCAAAATTTACTATTTTGAAAAGCATTTTAATACGATTTTCTACCGAAATATTCTTATAATAATAATAAATATTTTTAATTTAACCGTTCCTAATACAAAAAATTCAATAATTTCCTATTTTAAAGCACGAAAACACGTCAACCAATTTACTAAATTATAAGTCACGTGTAAAGTGACAATCTATTAAGTTACGTACTCGATATTCGCCTCGAAAATCTTATTTAATATTAGAAAGTTAAAGCAATCATATCAAATTTTGTTCTATTCATTAAAAGTTGACAAAATTATCAAAAGCGGAATGAATCTCATTACACGAACCATCCCAATATACGAACAAATTTAATTGTAACCGGTCCAACTAATGCACATGGCTGACGGAATTCACTGATTGTAATTATCCACTTAAATCTACAAAATTCATTTGAATCACTGTAATATGTAAACATTATCACAAGCGAGTTAAATAATAACAAATTCTCACCTGAAGATGTTTGATAACGGCTAAGTTAATGTGGGCATGAGACAACTTGGGATTCAATTGTATTGCCATCTGGTAACTCTTTAATTAATATAAATGAATATTAAAATAGATACAATAACTTTTAAAATTTGAAAATTTATTCAATAATTTTCCATTAGAAAAATTACTACAAATTTGATCAAAATTATTAAGTAGAAACGATCATTTAAAGATTCTATGTTGCTGAAATGGTAAGGTAATCGATTCAAATCAGTTATTTATGGCTGGGACATAAAGCCGCAAGATCATTTATCTAAACAACTACAATAATTAGACAACAAAGGTAGGTTAGGATCATTACTCTTAACTGTTCCTCAATTGTTTATCGTTGTACTTAGTCACTCTATCGATTGGAGTAATCAAACTTATAAAATACTCTACCATTGAAGTCTCTTACAGCCAACGAATTCCAAAAATTATGATAAATCTGGCTTAATTCACATTAAGAAATGCTTAAATATTAATTAACAAAAAAAAAAAACTCGAATTATAACAAATTAAAATGCATTTATTACTGTTAATTAATATTAATTTACTCGATAAAATTAAAGATAGATTATTATTATTTATTTATTTATATAGATTTATTATCGATTTTTATTACTTAAAAAATATGCTATAGAGAATGAGCGTTAACGAAATAATTTTGATCAAAAAAATACATTTAAAAATAATAATAATATAATAATAAATTTAATAATTATTTTATTACCTTAACAGCAGCATCCATATCATTAATATCTTTCAAGATATCTGCATGTTCTGCATGTAAAGAAGCGCAAGATCGATCATCCGCCGAGCATAAAGTAAGAGCTTTCAAGATGTAATCGAGAGCCTAAAAATCGAAAATTTAATAATCGATTAATTTAATAATAAATGTAGAGTTAATTAATTAATTTTTTTTTTAAAAAAGACAAATTTAATTAAAGAGATGTCAAGGTGTTTAATTTGTTGAAATTTTCCTTTATATTTCTCTATTAAATAAAATAGAAAAATTCCTCCAAGTTAATCAATTAAAAAAAAATAATAATAATAATATTTTTTGTTTAAAGGGTGGAGGGATCAATAACAGATTCATCATCATCATCAAGTTTTATCAGAATTTTTGGTAATGCCAAATTGTGACGTAATAAATGCGCTCATTAGATAACTTTATCCAATATACAATTTTTACACAAACAGATGTCCTTTTGTTAGCTCAATTCACGAAACTAAATAGATAATTAGTAGTGACATTAAGGATCATTTCGCCATATTAATGACGTCATTAACATCTGATAATTTATACTTTGTTGTAATTATGACAGAACGATTTCATGTTCCATCTGTTTGAATCAATGCTAATCGAATTGCTGTTTGTTTGTCCGACGCAAATACACGATTTATAATTTTTGATGAATTGAATTTATTATATTTTTTTATTTTATTTTATAAAGAAAAAGAAAGGGAATTTTTACTTTAAATAATGAATGTATTCATTCTCTACTTCATTTATAACTTACACCATTTTAAAAATCTATATCTATTGAATTACATTATTTTGAGTCGCTTTTGATCAATTCCCTTCTTCCATTTATATATATATAATTTTTTTTTAACAGCACATCTGTGTGTCTGAACACGAAACAAACTGCTCAATCATTAAATTAGAAAAAGAAATTGCTGTCATTTAGAAAAGTGCAGATAAAAACCTATCTATAATAGTAATTTATACAAAAATATAGTTCATTCAGAAAATATATTTCCAATATAATTCTATATACATTAAATTTCTAATCATAATAAGAACCTTTTATTATGATTAGATATTAATTTATCTTTTATCATAAATTACCATAAATTATCTTTAATTTAATGACCATTTCTTATTCTTCTTCTTCTTCTTATTTTTTTTAATTTTAATATATAAATAGATTTAACAATTTAGATAATTTCGATAATACGAAATTACAGAAATTTCAATAATGTGAAGTGTGAAATTCATAATAGTGAATGTCTCAAACACTAACGTTAATGTATAAATTATATAACCGTGAATATAATATAAAGTTTACAGTTTTAATTATATAATAATGTTAATTAATATAAATTAAATATCTTCTATAGAAAATTACCTAGCTATAAAATGAAGTATATAACTCAAATAATATGTATATATTCCAATAATATAGATTGTTCTAACTACAATTATATTAACATAAAAGCTTTAATAACACTTAATGGTAGAAATTTCAATAATAGAATCGAATCTCTGAACAAAGGACACCGACGGAAACATAAAAATTGCCCGTTGTTCGGAGGTTATTTTGTATGAATTTCAAAATAAACGTTCCTTAAAACAATGGCCTCTGTTTACAGGTGGACGTTGTTGAAGATTCGACTGTATATAAAATAACGAAAGTTATGAAAACACAAAGAAAGTGTCACGAAGAGACATTATCCAATGCACTTAATCTACTAATATTATTCAAATGATATTAATAAATCTATGTTATTGTTACGTATCTATTTATATACAATGTGTTTATATCTATAATTAGAAATATATGGATGTATGTAACTGTATATAGGGTAACGAATTGCTTCTAATTTAAGATGCATTTTTATCACGTTTCCTAGGTTAAAATTGTATTAAAATTCAAGATTTATTTCTAATTATTAAAGACAAAAGAGTAGTGATACGTCTGAAATTCGAAGTAATATGGGATGTATTATGCTCACGCTGTAATTCTACACTGTAATACACGCAATACCTTGTTTACTTTGATCAATAAATTGTATTATTCTTTAAATTAAGGGTTCCTAACTTTTTTCTTGCATTGATTCCCACATAGAAAATATTCTTTTCAATCGATCCCCAGGCCTATATCGAGCCTTTTGATAATATCTACTTTAAATGAACAATATAAATTAGCATAAAATGTATCTGTTATATTATTTAAAACAACGTTAATGATCAGTTTTAGCAATTTAAAATAATTTCAAGAGATTTAAACTTGCTTCATGCAAAGTATGAGAGAATTGCTACTCATATTGTTTGAATATAAATGAATTTTTAAGCTATAAAATCTCTTAAACATTCCTTTAATAATAAATTTATAATGTTTAAAATTAATTAATTTAAAAAAATTATAAAAATTAAGATGTAATTATTAATAGAATTAGTGAATTGTTATTGGGGAGGTCATTATTGTCTTAGAGAAATCGCCTTTTTACAACAAAATAACGAATAAAGAATAAATATATTTCGATCAAAATTACAAACGATGTCAAAAAATAATAAATTATTCTTATTATATTAATAAATAAATGTTTTATTTTTTTATTTTTGACCCAGAGCGAATATAAAAGTCAATTATTACACGCGTATATCATATAGGCCTATGCATGCATCTACTTTAGCCTATATAAATCTCTAATTTTATCATAGATTTTTATATTTTATTACGTTCTAAATATAAATAAACTATTATTAATTTCAATGAATATCTTTTATCTCACGTTAAATTATAATATATAATTTTTCGATATTTAATTAATTACATTTTTTTAATAGTCACCTCGCATAATCGAGAGTTTCGAGCACGTAAAGAAGAGATCGAAACAGAATTTATAGACATTTCATTATATGTAGTTATTATTAATTTAAATCGGATCGAAATCATTAATTTTTCTCTACTATTTATAAATTATATCATTAAATTATTTTTATATTTAGAGCAAAACGAATCGGTGGTGGTGGTGATGGTGACGAGCTCGTAAAATCGGAAATTAATGCCAGCAGATGGCACCACTAATATGAGGCTAAAGAGATCAAAGATAATCAGACAAACTGACGTCTTCTTTATAAAGCCATAGATCCAGGCGCGTGCAATAATCGCTCGTGTAGTTCAGGTTCCATCTTGGACACGTTTATTACTATTATTATTTTTTTTAATAATAAAAATCGCCCCTAACTTTAACTATATGAAATAAGAGGATAAATGAAAAAAAATGGAGAAAGAAAAATTACTAGAAACCAATTTTTTTCTCTTCTATTTCTAGTTTGGAATAGTGGAAGGCAGATGGATTCGATTGATTCCATATCTTAAGAAGTTCGGGAGCAACAAATTTTATGGCAAAAATGTGAAGTCATAAGAGGGAAACTGAGAATCGGGATTTTTCCAAACTGATTATTTGGCGTCAAATAGAATCTATTTTTTCGTGATAAATGGTTGATCCTTGGCAATAATCGGGAACCAATTTATATGGAACTCAACTGAAAAATACTGTCGATAATGTCGACTTCTGTTGATATTGAAGAAAAGATATATAGATTGCTGGCAGTTTCTTATTTCTTTGCCACTGCCTCTTTATGTTTAAAGGATCCGAGATGGTGCATATTATAGAGTATTGGATTTATCCGAAGGAAAAAACTATATATATATATATATTTGTATAAGTACCTCTGCTGTTTGGTTTGTGTGACTGTACAGTATTGCTAGTTGATGATACACTTCTCTGTTACGATTTTCTGCTTCGGATAAACGTAATAGAAGTTTCTCTGCTTCTGAGTAACTCCTTTGGTGAAGAAGGAGTTGAGCCTGTAAGAAATCATCGTTTCAATTGAGTGTAAAATAATAAATACAAACACAAATTATCTATTAATTTTTATACGAAGCAATCGAGAGGGGAGTTAGAGATTTTTCTTCTGTCTTCCTATCTTTATAAAATTAATGATATCTTTACTAACAAAAAATTAAATTGTAAGATGCATTTATTATTAATAATAATAAAAATATTCCACTTATTTTATTAAAAAAAAAAACTGGTAAAAGGGATACGATCTACCAGGCCACGTACTATACAAAACACCCAAACTCACTGGCCAGACTAACACGGCGACTCGAAAATATCTCGATATTTAATAATTAAAAGAAAGAAAAATAATTAAAGAAATTTTATCATAAAGTTTATTAAATAAATTTTAAATATATGTTCGAATAGAGTACGATTTTCAAATGAATTTTGTATTATTCACAGCACGNATTCTTTGTTTACTTTATTAAGTTGAAAACTATTCTAAGAAGTATATTGAATTTATTTTATTCTAATTAATATCCCGAGAAGTTTCTTATACGTAGGTATGAGATAATAAAGACCTGTATTTATGTAAAAAAAAATTCAACCTCTTAAAATCACGTGACGTTCTATCACGTTTCTTCCGTCAAATGACTTTCATTCCGTTCTCCCCCCCTCTCTCTCTCTCTCTAAGATGATGATAAATGACGTGGCATCATCTTTGACTAGATTCATGCTGGTGTTTTGTAAAGTCAAAATCATTTCCATATCCCATAAAGTCGAGCGTGTTTCTAGTGTTTCCTGCCAGCATGTCTGATTCATTGTTACACAGAATCCAACCGGATACTGGAGTAGAAAAGGGAAAGGATGTTTCACAATCAGAATTCTCTTTTCCTGTCGAAATATTGCAATCGATAGGACACGCTGTGATATACGTAATTTGTAAAGAATTTTCTACTCTAAGCACGAATTTCTAATAATATTAAATATATCTTTTCCTCTTATTTATTTATTTATTTATTTTTTTAAATAGGAAAAGAAATTCAAGATTATAAAATATTCCGAGAGGGTTCTTAACTTTTTACGTAACAATTATTTAATGAAGCATTTCGATAATATTTTCTGTCATAATTTCCATTTTAACTTTTGAAGCAGAAAGAAAGAATGTTCTATTTTATCTCAACCTCTGCAGGTATTAAAAATATATATTAAGAAAGGGGAATAAAAAAATAAAAGAAAATGTCAACATATGTAAAAAGAGAACATTCATTTACATTTAATTTAAACTCGGGTGCTTTATTTCATTTTCTGTTTAAAAAAAAAAGAAAAAGAAATTCTTCAGGTGCGTTTTACAGAATGATCGCCGGAATATCTTCCATAGAACAGTATGCCATACGGAGATAGAATGAGAAAGGGGGAAAAAAAACAGAAAAGGCTACCTTACAAGGCAATATATTAAAGGCAACGGTGCAGAAAGACTGCAGTCTTGTGTCGTCCGTCTTTCTAGCATCGTAGCAAGATAGCATTTCAGTGGAGGGTGGGATGATCCCTGGAACTTTCTCTTTACACCTCAATGACAGCAGTACGAAAAACAAGAAATACAACTTTCTCCGATATCCTATTCTTTGACCCGTGCAAACACATATACACACATACACATAAAAAAATAAAAAAACATTTTCTTTTTACCTCTTATATAAATTCTCTGCCTCATTTGTGTGCTTGAGAGATTTGAGGGTCCTGGCGGCGTTGACCAATGCCACTGTATGGTTAGCATTCTTTCGGACGGCTTTCAAGTACTGTTCTACAGCATCTTCTATTCGGCCTATATAACGTCAAAAAAAAAATAAATTATAATAAATAAATGATATGTTTAGTAGAAGTCTCAATTCTGTTCTAAGTAACTTTTTTTTTTTTATCTTACTATCAATATTAGATGGAATTCTGAATAGGATATACTGTATATCATTCGTTGAGTTTATTGATGTTTCTCTGTACAGAATGCAATCTGTTATATTATATAAGTCGACATATCTGATTATAAGCAAAAAGGATGATCCGAATTTCCACTCGAACGAATACAGATACGTTCAGACAATCATGTGATCTCATTTCGAAAGGAATTTCGAAATGAGATCACGTGAGAGGTAAAAATGTTGCTGATAGTAGTATATACAATCAACTTACCTCTATTCTGTAGGAATGCACCGTAGTTATTCAGAAAATCGGCGTTGTTTGGTTGAATTGCTAATAGCTTCAAATGAAGTTTTTCTGCATCTTCGACTTCGTTCAATTCTTCTTTAACTCGAGCCAAAGAGGAATAAGCTTCTGTAAAATCTTCTTCTAACTGTACTACATCTTGTAATAACATGCCAGCATCACGAAGTCTTCCATTTTTTCTAAAAAAAAAAAAATATAAGGAGAACAACTGAAATTTAAGCCAGAACAGCGGTTAAAAAGTAAGATAGAAAGAAAAAAAATTAGTTTTCTCAGCTTCCCGAATTCTTAGATTAATTCGTATAAACTTATTTTATGAATTAATAAATAAAAGAATCCGGTTAGATTATAACTATTATATTATATTAAAGATTAAGTGTACTCAAGTCAGAGTTGATACTCTTTTATTTTAAAGAAAATACACAATTTTAAAAATTAATATCCGCCCGTAAATAATAAACTTAACAATACTCGAGGGATAAAACTCGGAAGAACGTAATAATTTATTAGTGAAAAAACCATAATAAATACTTACCTATAAAGTGTTGCCAGATTATAAAGAGCTTTAGAATGTGTTGGATTAATGGACAGGGCCGATCTGTAATGTCGTTCCGCTTGGCTTTCATTGGTCAGTAGGGTGGCCAAGTTATTGTGTGCACTGGCGTGATCGGGCCGTAAACTACATTGGAGAAGATAATGACATCGATAAATAGGATCACTAAAAACACAAGAAACTTCCTTCTTTATAGACAGTAAATTTAATCTCTGTTACGAGACAGGTTTATTGTAAGCTATTTGTTACTTGTGAATAGCAGTTTGGTTTCGTTGGTTAACGAAGATTCTCTTATTCCTTAACAATATTTGATTATAAGTAGTGAATTAAATATCAATTATTATTATTATTATTATATTCCTATAGGGTTTTATTTGCTATTTAAATTTAATAAAATCGAAAAGGATACTTACCTGATTGCTATTTTGTAATGGCGGATAGCCAAATCGGTATTTCCTTGATCTTTCTGTAAATTTGCATAGTTATAATGAACCTTGGCATTATTCGGTACTGTGTGAATTCCGGATCTAATTAATAAAATCATCACATTAATTTAGTACAAATAATTATTCTTTAATGAAATATTAGCATCTAAAGATTCATTTGTTCGATTTTTAAACGACTTTATAAGTCTTAATTATTTATTATTAAGCGTTAATATACCCTGTGTGAATTCCTTATCTAATTAGGAAATAATTCCGATATTAAGTTGTTTTTTTTTTCCTTTTTGAATCGAAATGTTATCTCTTTAGCAGAGGTAAATTACTATTTTAGAATGGAGTGAACCTCAGTGGACCGGTTGTCTAATGGGCCAGTGATCAGATTGCTTTATCATGTGCTTCCATATTGACTAAAATATGGAGTATGCTTTACCGAAAATATGGTTGGTCCTATATTTTACCTCAGTTATTTCTTGCTGTGTTGAGCTATTTGACGATCAGTTAAACAATATTTTAATGTATTTATTCTCAATTCAAATCTTCAAATTAATTATCATTAATGAAATTATATAATTTAATCTTTTTTTAGCTTCTATAAATAATAAATTTATATATATATATATATATAAGTTTTACCTATTTAATTATAGCGAATAATAGATTTAATATCATTAAACTCTACATGTTGAAACGTTTTAAGGAAATGAATTTATCGCATTTAATGCAATGTAAAATGTTTCTTATATTCTGTATAATCCTATGATATATATCTGATCATGTGTACATGGATAATTACAGTGAAAACTAAGCACACTAATTTCCTAATCGTGCACCATCTGTTCATCACGTAATTGTCATTCATCATTAGTCTCTACAAAAGACACGTTGCTACTTTTGTACCCTACAAAGTTTGCTATATGCTATCAGCTAAAACCATTTACCTACATTATATCAGCTTTAATTTAACACACTAGAAAAAGATAAATCATCTTTATAACCCCATAAATATTGAAAAAAAATTTATTTTTTAATAAAGCATTAAGAATATAAGAAAAATTCGTTAATTAAATAAAGAAAAAATCCTTTAGAAATGCCGAATTTAATTTAAAAAAGAAAAAAAATGAATGACTTACGTAAATAAAGCTTCTCTAGAAATCCAATCTTGATTTCTTCTGACTGTTCGGACGAAGAATACGATAATTAATATAAAAGTCAGATATCTCCATAAACAGAAATACTTCGGTAATTCTTGCTTTAATTTATAAAGACCACAAGTTATTAGAAGGCAAAATCCTGCACTATAAATACGATAATCATTATTAAAATATGTTGAAAATTATTACTTGAATTGTAAAATATATATATATATATATTAATATTTACTTTATATGTTATTGAACCCACCTTGGTAGGTATAATATTCTCTCTGCTACTACAAATCCCACTGTAAAAAAGAGATTGGATGCTGGTATGTAAGTAAAGATGATAATCCCCAATCCTATGTATAAAATTTTATTTTCTCCATTCTGTAATGGGAATATTGTCAAATTACAGAAAATAATTTTAATATTAAAGATATTTATTATATTTCTGGAAAATATTTATATTAATTTTATTATTAAACTTTATTATTAATTGTATTTTTATTTATTTATTTATTTACATGGCAAATATCCCTTTTTTTTTACTCGAGATTTAACGTTATTAATTATTATTTTATTAATGAGATAATCGAATATAATTTTAATCTAAAGCTGTCCCTTTATTTTGAAAATTTATTTATTTTATTTTAAATTTTAATAGTTTCGAATTTAATTTTCGATGAGAAAAACGCCGATTTTTCGTTGACGGAATTAAGATCAATCTAAAATCTATATCTCCATTATGGCACCTACCTTATCTTACCTTGGGTACTAGAAGGACTCGAATAGTCAAAGCAAACACCATTAGATACAGGAATGCAGTAGGTATGTTACGCGGATCCCAGAAACTTTCCACCAAAGGTATACTATCCATTTGCCAGTCGTAAGAAAGAGTTATGGGTGCCAAAAGTAACCATACGTTGAAGGCAGCCAAGTAGGCGTGTGTTAATAATCTGTTTAGAATATATAATATTATAAATACCTTTTACATATTATTATTATTATTACAAAATTGAAATTTTTATTGGTTTATAAAATTCTATAAAATTTTATTTCTAAGAAACTAGTTTATTCGTTCAAAAATTGAATACTTTTTTTTTTATCCCTTTCCGTCCACAATAAAGAGAAAACTAAAGCAAATCTATTCAGTTTATAGAATCAATATGACAAGATATTTAAATTTCAATTTGAATTTCACGCAAGAGTTGCAAAAGTAGACGAAGATAAGAGGTAACTTCTATATTATTAGTTTTCAAAGACGAGAAGAAGCGAAGACCTATTCTATCCACCGTTCAGTGCTCAAGAACTTGAAATAGCCATTATTGATTTGGTTGGATACCTGCAAATAGAAGCGATTTCTTCTACGCTCGGCATCCATCACGGATATCGTATCACAATGGCTGCACTATTCAGTCAGTGAGCAGAAATAGGTCATACGTTACGACAAGAGCTCCCTGTACGTACATCATGTATAGCCGGAATTAAGGATGGAGATTCATGAAACATCCCAATCCTTCTGGAAAAGGAGATCTCACACACACTCCTTCCGTGCCGTTTCTATTTTATATATCCTCCCTATGAATGATGATAGCGCAAAAAGTTAAAGTTTTTATAATATTAAAACGTTCTATCTTCTATAATGCAGCGTGACGTTTACTTTATATAAATTTATTAACCTCGTAGATGTTAAAAATTCTAACCTTTTACACGTTCTATATATTCACGATAATATATATTTTTGCGCCGTATTAATTTTATAACTGAAAAGATATAATAAATTAGAATAAAAGTATAAGGATCATAATTGAAATTCGTTTATGTAAAAAAAAATGTCTAGAGAAAGATAAAACACTTAAAAGAGGAGCTTGTTTAGCATAAAGACATTACTCAGTAATTAAAAAAAAAAAGGAATTGAAAATCTATTTTAAAAGCTCTTATATTAATGAGTGATTTTTGATTATGATATACGATACCTTGTAGAAAGGAAAGGCGAAAAAGAAGCTGGATTGTCTTGTTCCGAGAAAGACGGCATCGCTCCGTTCATTATCCAGAAACGAAAGGCGATCAGACACACAAACTGAAATGAAATTATTTCGAAATTAATTTTAATAAAATATCCTACAGTTAAAATATAAATATAATCAATTATATTCTTGATATTCCTTTAAAAAAATCACGATAAAATTCTGTAAAGATGCTAAAATTATTTAAAATCTACATTTAAAAAAAGTTCTTTTGTTTGTTATTATCGACTAGAACATAAATATAACGTATGTCGATTGTATATAAAAAAAAAATAAACTGCCTTTATGTATAAGAAAACGTCACACGCATAGACAATATACGATAGCTTTTTATCGCTCCCTCCTCCTCCTCCTCCTCCTCCTACATATAATACAGATTTTAAATTTACATAAATCGAAAAACAAATTATCCGAATTCAAATGATCGAAATTAATGATAAAATGATTTATATATATTTATATGAAAAGGCGCATAAAATAGAAAATATAATACTAAACCTTTTGTATTATTTATGATTCGTGTTTGGTTATACATTATAAATGATTATATACATCTAAGCTACAAGTTTCTAAATTTCTAGGAACGAATAACGATTATAAATCAAAGTGAACTTTAACTACAACAAAACTAAATTATTATTTATATAGCAGATGAGAAAAAAATTGCATTTATTCTCAGAGGATAATCTTTTCTAACAATAATTTAATCGAGTAAATAATAGTTATCACCGTCTAATTTTTATAGATGAATTAAGCTTAACGATCGGTCTTATATATAAGAAGTAGGTTAATACGAGAAGCGACGAGACGTTTAGTTATCCTCAGTTAATTATGTACAACTCGAAAACATAACTTGTAATTAAATCTTTGGAATTAATTCATAAAAATTTCATTTATTCATTATCAGCAACGGTTAATGGATAGAAGCACTTTATGCTACTCGAAGAACTTTCATGCCAAACAATACTCGAAAAGTGAGCTTTTCAGCCACTATAAATATTAATTATTAGACACGATATCAAAATAAGCAAGTAAGTAATGTTGAAGAGAGTATTGTAAGGGTTTATAGTGCACTCAAGATGATGGTTTGTTTGCCCAATATATGGACAGGAACTATTAGTGCAGTTAATTGAAAGCGGGTTGTAATCGCATCTTATCTCGATTGCGACTGGATAGAATATATACCAAATCACTTACCACTGTACAGATAATTAATAACTTCAAGTCTTGTTTACAAAATCGATTTGCATTTTCTTTCGTATCAAATCTAAGAAAAATAATTGAATTATAATTAATATTCGGTTGTAAATATTGACTAAAATGTCTCTAGCGTAACTCTTTTCTTTTAATTTAATTTTTAACTTTAAAAATTTTATAGATTTAACTTTTTAATTTTTCTTAACAATAAATCTATTTTTCGCTTTCTTTACTTCATTAAAATTAAATTAATTAATTAATTAAACGTGTTTCATTATATAATTTTCTAAGAATGTAACAATTTTTACAACTTCTGTCGATCGCGACCGAGTTTTAGCGATTCGCTTTAGCGTTAAGCGAGAGAAAGGGGGAAAAAATCGATTTACAATTTTATCATTTCTTAACCGACAATTTGCATATTGATTAATTTTTAAAGCTTAACAATAGAGTTAATTTCGATACGGTTTAAATTTTTCTACTTTTACTCTATTAATAAAGTCGTATCGCGATTAAAAGCGCGTAAGAATTTTGACGCTTTAACAGAAAATTATAAATAATAATATAAATTTTTAAGTTAATTTCAAATCGTAAATGCATGCCCATTCGAAAGAGAAACACGAATGAAATCATTGTTTAGTTTAGCACTTCCTTACAACGAATAGTATTTACGCCATGGCGAACCTTATTTAGTATGAATGCAGTTTGGAAATTGTTAGAAACAAATCTTCTCAAATGCGGTTCTAATTCATTTTACGCATTTCAAATCCAATACAATCAACGAGATTCTTTATTAGAATTGGCTTTAAAGAGCGGCAAAAGCGAATACAATCGACATGCCTTAATTAATGTATGGAATGCAACCCGAAACTCCTTGCATTTGCAGTTGATCCAATGGTTCACTTAATGACATCGCAAGCGTTATCGGAGTAGTTCTATTACTTCCGGTTAGCACCAGATTTAGACTCGAACTACAACGATAGCGTTAATCATCTGGTGCGATTGGGCGGACCATTTCCGAAACTATTCTGTACTTGGAATTGCTCGCCTTTACTAACATTTAGAACAATGCGACAGTTTACAATTTATTTGACTTGTATCTTCGATCGTACTAACTTTATATACTGTATATTTAGTTTTAAGATGATAAACATTACAAACTACTCTCGATTTTAACGCTATGGATGCTTTAAAACTTCATTGTCTATTCGTTGGTCTTTAAGCATTATTAATGAATAATCTGTGTTAAGTCGGCGTGTAAGCGAAAGGAAGTATCCTCCATTTAATAACAAACCGACTTTAATCCCTGTATAGCCGCAACTACAGCACTCCAAATGTGAGAATAAACGTGTTGCTCTAGAAAGATCAAATAAATCAAAAAAGTTAATAGTGGGAATTCTTAGATTTTTTCTCCCTGCTTTCACCGAAAATTATCATTACTCTTTCACTTTTTCCCCCCTTTTCTTCCACCTTACAGATGATTAAACCCTTACAAAAGTAAACTAAAAAATAGATATAAGTTTAAAAAAAACAATCTATTGAGGATTTATTAAAATAATATACTTTTTTCTGTGATATTTGCACATCCAATGATATCCAGCACACAGAGGGAGGACGGTTATGCCTTGTTCTTTGGCTAGAAGGGCCAACATTGCACATGCCATACTAAATATAAACCATAGAGATGATTCGTTATCTTCGTTTGATCTGAAAATATATTATATAAAAATATTTATTAATTGTAAAATTAAATATAGTTATAGAAATTCTGCGACTTTTTTTTAAAACAAATTTATTTGTATGATTTTAATGGAAATTGTTACTCGAAACTAACAATTAATATAAGATTTCACGTTAATTAACTAGAACTAAACTTTCTACATTAAGATAAATATAACAAAGTTAAACATTAAAATAATCTATTTTTTTTTAAGCGATAATTTGCGATTTTATAAAAAGATTTAAGAAAGAACAATTCTATTTTATCTAGGATATTACAAATAAAAATTTCAACAGGTTTTAAGAAGTTTCTATATTCAATTTTCACTCTTAAGTTGCTATCCTTCAAGTATAAGTACCGAAAATATCTAAAAAAATCTCTCTTTACAGTGAAGAATATCCAAGATCAAGCTTCATCCTTCGATTGATCCGAGTTTTCCAATATTCCAAGATAAGGATTCTTCTTACACATGCGCATGTGATTTAGAATAAAATCGAACTGAAATTTAATCTAAAAATCCCAGATTAGGATTAGATAAGAAGGCAATAAAGGCGGATTAAGTACAGAAAGTGAATAGAAATAACCTTTATAGTCCTACACTTTATATAGCAACGGAAATTTATAGACACTCAGAAAATGAATATTTTTAATCGATTTTTTTCAATTTAAATATCGATAATTTATTATTATTATTATTTTTTTTTTTAAAGCTTACTTGCAGAAAGATAGAAAGGATGCGAAAAATAAAATGGCGGATAAGAGTTCTGCTCTTCCAACGATGCTGGATACCTGTAAAATTAAAATAATTGAATATGAATATTTTAGAATAAATAATAGTAAATTAAATTATTTATAATAATAATTATTATTATTTTACTTACAGCTTCCGTATGAATAGGATGTGTAGCAAATAATAAGGCTACTGTGAACGATCTATGTCGATCCCATTCTAGAACGTTTCGACATAACATAATTAATAAAATGACCACGCAGGCATGTAGAACGAGGTTTAAAACATGAAAACTTGTTGATGAGGGACCAGAAAGAATCATGTTTAACCTAGAAAAATGTTAAAATGTCACTGAAGAATTCGGCGAGTGCATAAAAAGAAAGAAAGAAAAACAGCGGGTTATCCCAAGCTTTGATAAACTCGATTTAAGGTGTAGAATTAGAGGTGCTTTTATAGGATTGAAAAACTACCAGAAGACGCCTCTAGCTTTTCACTAGGCTCTACTATTTAAAAGCCTTTATATAAAGGAATGCCAACTACAGTACTCTATAGAATGGTAAGAGGTTACTGTCGGGTCGGCGTACACCCAACGACCTTTAAAAAAAAATAAGAAAAAAAGGAAAAAAAAGAGAAGGAGAACCGTGTTCGCTAGAACTGAAATTTAAGGCGTTAGAATAGATTTTCGAGAGTTGAAAACCTATTGAAGGCCATCTAAAATTATACGGTGACCTCATCACTTTTAATTGAGCTTACTGAATTTCTAGACAAACTATGAAAGATACGCATAAACAAAAACGAATTCTAAAATAAAACAGTACAAATAAGCATCTTTCCAAGCTAATAAAACATAACAAATGTTTATTTTTATTAAGGAAAATATTTCAAAATTAACGAGAACCATATGATAAAAGTAATATTTACAGTGTCTTCCTTCCTCCTCCTTTCTTTATTTATTTAATTTATAAAACCTAAGTTCATTCTCCTATTTACCGATTCTTTGTTTAATTTTAACGAAAAGAAGAAATATTTTTCTCTTTTTTTTTCTTTTCATAAATAAAATAATAATTAGTTATACCGCAATAACAACAAACAAATCTGAAAAACGTTCTAGTTCATTAAAAATTAATCATTTAGTGGCATGAAATAAACTATATTCATTCAGTAACACTTAACATCGTATAAATATCTCATATTACGTACATTAAATCCCTTTAATAAGATGAGAAAGTTCAAACTTGATCTTAATGATGAAGATCATATTACAAAAGTGCAGATGCTTCGTCTTAAATTAGTTTCGTCTGTCCAACTGCATAAATAAAAATACACATACAAAAAAAAAAAAAGTGAATAGTTTTATGATGATATGTCACGTTCGTCTCACTAAACAGTTATTTTCGGGATGATTAGTTTCACTGAAGCCTCATAATATTATTTAATCCTTTGGAAAGTATCAATTCTGCATATAACCTCGTTTATATCAGGTTTCATACTGTGTAGCTTTCACACGTGATATCTAATAGACTCGTTATATATTAAATTGTATAAATATTTAAAAAACATTCCTGAGGTAGGAATATATATATACTGTATATATATACTTTGGTTAACCTCAATTTGCGGTTTGTAAAGGAATAAATTAGATCCGACATCCTTATTTAATGGCCGGATAACCAAGCTATCAAAAGAACATTTAGATCATTTTTGTAATTATTACCATTTAATATATATATATATATATATATATATTTATCTATTATCTTATTTACAGTGTTAAGATTTTGGTAATTAAATTATCTACCCGTACACCAAGTAATTATTTATTATATAGGTCAAAGTTCAATTTAACGCACGTAAAAATATAACGGGTTGTAATTAGATCTACAAGTAGATCCCCTATAACACTGTAGATAATTCCGTTTTATATGAATTCCATGTTGTACGAGTCACTTAGTTTTTACAAATACGTGTGCCAGGCTGTGAACGGCTCACGTATTTGTAAAATCTAAGTGACTCGTACAACATGGAATTCATATAAAACGGAATTATCTACAGTGTTATAGGGGGGATCTACTTGTATTTAAAAATTCAAAGTTTTTACATTTAACTCAATAAAACTTGATCAAATTTTTATATTAAAAGTAACACAAAAAATTGACTTTCGATAAGATCTTTACTCAACTCTATAACCTATTAAAAACTATGCTTTAATTTTTTTTATATATAGTTTCTTATATAAAATAGTATTTAGATCGATAAAATTGAGCGTTAGAAAAAAAAAAAAAACTTTTTTCTTTTCCTGTGTAAATGTTATAAAAATCTATTTAAATTATAGATCAATTCATATAAATCTATTTAGATTACAGTCGATAGTTTGTAAGAGATAACGCATAAAAGTAGAATCGATAGAAACGTGTTTAGTGTCGAAAATAAAGCAAAATATTTATGATTTTGTAAAGAATAAAGAAGAAGAAAAAAAAATGAATCAAAAAATTCTCTATTGCCTATTATAAGGTTGAACGAAAGAGCATTCTCTTGAGAACTGATACGATCTTAAACATCTTATTACAAGGATGCCAAGTGGCAAACAGTATATAGAATCTTATCTTTAGAGATCTCAATACATTTATCAAAAATTTTAACGAGTATTAAATTCAAAAATTAGAAAGAGAAATAGAGAAAACACGAAAGAAACTAAAGACATTTTTTTTAATCAAAATAATATTTTTATATAATTTTTGAAAAGAATAAATTCAAAAGAAGCAAAATCAATTTTCAATTCTCTTATTCCTTTTCGGAAATAAATCTTTTGAAAGAAGTTATTCATATGGATTTCCTATAACAATATCGTGACTTGTACCTCACGCATCTTTCACGGTGCAATACACGCTTCCATTTTTTTTTTTTATTTATATATGTTTGGAGTGGAACACATCACACCGATGCACAAGTCAACATCATTAACGTCATATCCTAAGTGCTTACTTAAGTTGATTGCCTGATATTTATTTATTTATATCAACAATTAAGTTGGTAATGAATCCAATTTATTATTGAAATTTCTGATTTTATAATAATTCTTGTTTGCTTTCAGCTACCGACTTTATTATTAAAATTACACGATATGTAAACGTAGAGGAAGCACCGGTGTCGTGTTTAATTGAAAAACTGTGTTACACGCTTTTTATACTTAATTAACGTTGCCTGCTATTAATTCTATTTAATTACAGTTACTAGTCGTGCAGACCCTTTTTTTTTTCTATTAGAATTTTTCTGAGGAAATTGAAAAAAGCTCGTGTGTAATGTTCTGTTCCGTATGCAGTTCTGTATCTATGTATCCCATTTTAATCTTATCTCTCTGTAGAATTTTTATTTTATTTTATTTTTTTAGAAAGTCACGAACTTATAACTCTATTCATCACTTATAAATTGGTAGAAGGAAGATATTTCGCAGGCGTTATATACTATCCGCAGTGCTATATTTGGTCTATAAACTATCACGAATGGCACCACCAATGATAAATATTTCCAGAAAGTGTTCCGTTTTAATTTAGGCAATTTTGAAAACGTTCCACGTACCAAAACTTCGAAGAAGTTATCTCAAAAAACCCTCCCTCCTGCAAACGGTTCGGATAACGTTATTCTAGTCTAAAAGCGTGATTTTATATTTTTAGGCTAATTAAACATCCTTAAAAGTAACCTCCCCTTTGTTAAACAACTATAAAAAAAAGTTATTAATGGTTAGCTACGACAAACAACCGTTAAAAACGTACGCTAACATTAAATGTCTAGTATCTAACGTAGAAACATTGAATAGAAAGAAATGGTTCTAATAGCTTCTTGGCCTTTTGGCTAAGATCAAAATAGAGTAGTGTATATATATTCTTCTACATTAAAACTTTGAAAGTCATTCGACTCGTAGTGCCTAAAGCAATATTCTTTTATAATGTTCTGCACAGAATATTAATCGTACTAGAGATGCTCCAGACTGATATTCTTCTTCAGTTAGAGATAGACGGTAGATTATTGATTGTGTTCGGTCAAGGTTACTAAACATCACACACACCTGGCAGGAAACACTCTTATTTTTTTTTGAAATCGATAAAACATCGCAGCACGCGTTTAATTCCCTTCTCTGTTTTAATATCACCACCCGTAAAAAAGATGCATTGTAGCATAAGAGTGTCTTTCTTCTCCTCTATTTGTCGATTAATATGCGATCGAGAACGATCCAGTTGTCCAAAGATGATGTTCACAAGAGCTATTGTTCCACTACAATTGGCCATTGCGTATCAACTGGCACTATAATAACGATAAACCAGAATTACTCTTATTCCCATCAGGAATTTAATGGCCTTAATAGCTTTATCATCCTACAGATAAATCAACTAATTCGCTTCAAATGTATTTAAATTAATAGAATATCGTATTCAATCTTACATTTTAGTTATATATTTTAAATATTTTGAGATAAATGATAATATTATGAGTTTTATTTATTAAAAGTATCATTTTCTACCCCTTTTTACGTTTGAAAAATAATAGAAAAACTAATATTTTCCACTTCCAAGTATATATTAAATGTTTAATTTTTTGATATGTACAATACAAACTTTACTAATTAATACTTTTCTTTCTTGAATAATTAAATATTTAATTATTTCTAATTCTAAATATCTTAAATAATTACCGATTAATTAGTACTTTCTCCCAATTATCTAAAGACTAGGCAACTATTACAATGTTATTAACTAAACGAAATTTTAATACTTCTTTCTTTGAGTTTACTTATGAAAGTTACCTTTAATTCTTAAATAATTAAAGATATTCTGCTAAATAATTTCGATTTCTAAGTAATTAAAGGCATTAATGATTATGAGATTTAATAATTTTTTAAAAATATTTCTCAGAAATGACAAGTAGTTTTAATTACTAATTATATAGACCTTTTCATTCTTATTAATACACATTCAATACACGATGTATACGGTAAAATATAGAAATTTATATGCAAATATAATTTCAAAATCATTAAATTAGCATAATAGAAGATATAGAAAGTTAATTATTATCATTTTGTCTGTCAATACAAAGTAAAAAGTAAGTGTCTATTGAGCTTCATCCTTTAATTATCTTAATTAATTCATATTTTCTCATTAATTTATTCTTTTAATTAATTATATTTTTTAAAAAATTATAGTTTTATTACATTTTATTTTAATTTTAATGATGATTTTTAACGTTTATATAATAATAATAATAATAATAATTAAAGATTATTACAAGGAACAAAGAACATTTCTTACTTAAGAGATGATTTATTTATCTAAAAATCTGCAACAAAACTGAAATTTTCCATCAGATAGACGTTCAAAGATCTACTGGAATGGATCAAACACTTATAAATTGATAAGGGACAAGCGTTTTTACACTCGATACGACTGAACTAACAAGAGAATAAGAGGATAAAAACTTGTTTCCAGACAGTAAGACCAGTTATATAGTTGTAAGCATTCATTCATTCGTTGTCTGTCGAGCGTAAACATCCAGATTTTAAGGTACATCTGTTCTGAAGTAAAATTTTTTGAATTATCCCGGGATGGATCCATTTCATATAAGAGATTTAGTTAGAACCGGAAGTTACGTTGTAACGAAGGTCTATCCTGTGGAACGCGGAATCGAATGAATTTAACGCTAGATCCAACGGAAATCTCTGTCCAAACTAATGATCCATGTCCCGTGTCCACTCCGTCCGGATGCAGGATTGATGGTAACAATTCCTGTAAAATCTAACGATCCGTAATAGTTCCGCGCTGACAGAGACGCCCGGTGGTCTCTTTACAATCGATAGCAGGCCTCATCGTTCCCTCCTATCAAACAACCCATTTGTTAATCGTTATTTTTAAGCTATTACATTAATAAAATGCTACCCGACACTTCCATTTTTGCATTGTTTTTGCTCTTGTTTTTAAACTATCAAATCGTTCGCTCTTTACAAGAAGTCGTTCCTTTCCTCTATTATAATTTTAAAATTATTTAAAGATTAACATTGTTTTATATATATATAAATTTATTCGAGTGTAAAATTTCAATGTATTTATTCCGCCATGTTTTTTTGACCTTAGATTCCGGTTTAGAAAGGAACTGCACTTCAGCACTTGACTTGATAATATTCTTTAATGACGGCTGAAAGAACTTACTTTTTTTCTCTCTCTTCAGACCCTGTTTTCTCACTTTCATGTAATGTTACAATACTTCGAATCTAAAGGAAAAGTGTTATTAATGGTACTGACCGGAAGTAGTGGGTCATCTAACGAATGGAACGTTAGAAGTTTCCCTAACTCAGCTTGACTCCTATGCAACTTTACACAGATAATTGTAGTTTTCAACATTCTTTTTATAACTAAAAATTACTCCACATTGTTTATTTTAAAGCTGTGCCACGAATGAAAATCTCCGAGACATTTTGCATTTAAAATGTCGCATTTTTTTTCTTTTTTCTCTCTCTAACTACTGGACTAATTTTTGTACTTTATTTAATGGCTTAAGACACGGTTGATTTCCATAGAAAACACTTGAAATAATTCTCTAGTTAACGATTAAATAATTTTATCTTCTTCTAATACTTTTAGTATTATAATATATAATTAAATTAATCAAATTAAAAACACTCTTATTCGATTTATATTCAATTAAAGTTTAACTTTTCTAATATATATATATATATATTTATTTTTGTGTCGTCGAAAATTTCACGAGATGTATAAACATGATAAGGAATGTTTGTCTTTAGATGAGTTTTCCTTAACTCCTCCACTTTAGTAATTGGCTAAAGTTTCGAAAATGTTCGTGTCATTAAGCAAGATGGCTTTAAGTGAAATGACAGTCAATCTAACTAATTGAACTATTACAATCACGTGTTCGAGTAGAGAAAAGGTGACGAAATTTTGAACGATTTCTCTAAATATCTATAAGATAATATCTATAGAATATCAATTGCTCTACTCTTAAGTGAATGGGAATGAGTTCCATTCTAAAAGCGTTATAACAACCGTCCCATCCGTCCCAATAACGTTAAAACCGAATGACTACACAACTGGAAGTTATAAATTTCAAATACAGTACACCCCTATGAGGATTTTATCTCCATTTCGTGTCACCTTGACATGTTTATAAGTTGTTGGCAGCCTTTATTTGTCGTTTATTGTCAACCGGGTTTTAAAATTGTACGAAATGTTTACTGATGGAGTCATTTTGAGATGTTTTAAACGTAAATTTCCATTTGAGTAGACCAGAATCAAATTTGTGATTATGTTAAAGATTTTAGAAGAAGGAAGAATTATAAAGGAAAACATTTCTTTATTAAATAGGCGTGTTCAATCATATGAATGATTGGATTCAATCATAGACTTCTAGATCTAAGTAAAAACTTTAAAAGCATTTACTGATAAACAAGGAAAAGCATGGAAATTAAATGGAGCGAACATGCAGTGAATAAGATTTACAAAATTGTTTCCTAAAATGCTTTCCTTGATAGTCTCCTTCTGCTAAATTTACACTGTTGCAAATGTTCTACATAATTTTCATTTAAGCTTTATTATTCGCCATTTAGTTTTTCCAAGAGAAACTTAAGTACCCGAATTTAACTAGACATAAAATATCAAGTATTACTATATACTTTCTTGAAAGCTAACAGTAAGTTACGATTACTATTATTATTATTATTATTATTCACGTTTCATGGTCTATAATTGAAGCTCTACACTTCTCGGAATTACGAATCATAAGCTTGATGACCTAGAAAGGAAACTATCGTCGAATAAAATTAACTATTTAAGGCCCTTTCTAGTTTTATTTGTGACGACTTGGGAGGTTTTGAACGATGTAAAAGTGTTTACCTGGCACAAATTTTATGTGCGTTATCAGCTACTTTCTTGTCGTTAAACGTTAGTGAAATGTTGTATATTTAAACTGTCAGTTCAATATACAGACGAGTGACATTCGTTCCTTCTAAATATTCGAACGAATCTCGGTAATTGCCACCATATTTAGATAACCGATAATAGGGTGCATATGTGTTTTGTGCAGGGATCTAGGAGGGGTTCCTGTTACATGCTTCTTGGCGTGAGAAATTAGAAGTCCGGAGTGCAGGGATGGATGGATAAACATCTGGAAACCACATGAAAATTTGTAAAAAGGAAAAACAAAGTTCCAGATGAGTTATATTTGGTCGCGTTTCTAGGAAAAATAAAACCTTTGTTTTTTTGGCATTTTATATAAGTCTGGACCCAACATTATGATATTTAAGATAGAAAAAGTTTAAAATATATTTATATATATATATATATAATATTGAAGAATTTGAAAGAACTTTACCTGAAAGTCAAAATTGTGAGAGGACGATATGATTTGTGACTGTTGGGATCAGCCATAGGTTTACCCCAAAAATCGTTGAGGAATAATTGCCAGATTGACGAATGTCCCAAAACGTCTGGATTTGTCGTTATAGCTACAATATCATCGTGCACAAACTCACCCCCCAACGAATTACAATAACACATAATACATACAAAAGTCACTACAAGTACGAGTCCTAAATCACCGAATTCCCTATCGGAAGAAGCATAGTTATAATTTTGGAGTATGACTCGAGATATCTGCTTAGCGATGCAGGTAGTTGTTTTTTCTCTTCTAGTTTCCGACTGACACCTGTCTAATCGACAGCACCCACGCCCCATTGTGTTCCTGCTGCATCCGATGACTCCAACATAACTGAGCTCCTACAAGCACGCGATACGTCCTTTATCCTTACTAGGATCGATAAGCACGTGATACAAATATACGCATGCGCTTTCGTGGGGGGTGTTTCCGCAGAGGGCGCTTAGGACCGGTAGTCGAGTGGGACGTGACCGGGAGGGTTGATGTATATACTGTTAAAGCTTCCGAATATCCTAAAGATCTTCTCCACCCGATCTAACACAGAAGAGAAAACTGTAGGGAATTTCTTGCTTAGGGAACTTTTAAAAAATTAGTAGGGTGTGAAATTACGGGGTTACTAGTGACAAATATGTTAGAGGTGATGTATAGATTCGGAGCCGCGGGGTTTTCAATTAACTTTCCGAGTTCGATAGAGTAGACATCCTGGGAGTAGCACACTGTTTTCTTAATAATTCATCATCTGTTTCCTCCCCCTTTTGACAGACGATTCTTAAAGCCTCTGGCAATACTTTAACTATTTCTAGAAATTTTTATCGATAACTTATATAATAATTTCTTTAGTCACGCTTGTAATACTTTATAACTTACAGTATATATATTTTTACAGGCTTTATAGATTTTATAAGGTCGATTTTGATCTGTCTACAAAATAACTTTGTTTATACTAAAGCTTAAAAGTATGATACATATGTAAAGAATTTAGATAAGTAAATTACAGTACAAACAGTACAAATGATAACAAACTTATCTAAAAATAATAATTTTTATTATCAAAATGTTATATTAAGGGTACACTGTTTATGTTAAATGATATCGTGTGTGATATAATATATAATATCTAGGTCAATTGGCACATCTAACTTAAAGTAATGCCACTGTTTTTTTTTTTTTTTTTGCAATTTGTAACGTAATTTAAGCTTATTTTTTAAAAATAATTTATGGTTTATTTATAACTTTCTATATATTACTTTATATTTATATTGTTTGGTATATAAAGAAGTGTATGGATGGCTCCATTAACTTATTTCTTAAACAGTTTCATTAATACTAAATTTTTAATAGATTCTATATACCTTTTATAAAACATCTCTCCTATAATTTTCCTAAGAACACATCTTTATCCTTTCACAAGCGTATGTCCTTTGCAATGGTAATTTTTTTGTTAAAATAATCTCAAATATGTCCTTGATCGCCAATCATTCTTCCCTTTCAATTGTACAGTACAGTACAGTTCTTCAATTTTAAAACTTCTTAAATCCTTCAAACAACCAATACAATAACAATTCTTTAGAATCCTCGACTGTAACATCCTTCAATTGTTATTTTCTAACAAACCACTAATGATTAACAATCACTCCAATCGACACGCTTCTATATCTACTCATAATGCTAATATAAACTCCTTCAATTATCGTATCTCAAGAAGGTATTCTTTGCGAGATTTTACTAAAAAGATTCTCCTTCTCCTTTTAAACATTTATCCTAGAAAAAAAAAAAAAAAAACAGAAGAAGAAATCCTGTTTGCTTACAGTTTGTATAGTGAGTATATAGATAACTCTAGTTTACCATAGACAATTTGTGATGCCATCTCGGCCGTGGGCTATGGAAAAATCGCGTCAACTGTGTCCTAATCTAATTACCTAGAGAGATCTCGGAGTAACCCGTTCCGCTTTCCAGATGACAAAGAAGTAGACCATGTGTGTCTCCTCGCCCTTGTTCCTCGCAGGTGGTTAACAAAAGACAGGAAGGAAAGGTTACTCGAGCGTACCAGAGAGAATTATTAATCTCTTGTGCTGAGGTCAATGTCTCCTTCACTCCACATATTCTGATATTAGAATTATTAGGAGATGAAAGTTTTTGACCGGAGGCGAGAATGTCAAATATATCTTCCACATCTTTCGAATAAATTTGCATCTTTTTTATCCACGCTCTTTGGGTTAAGAATTGTAAGATAATATAACCAGTTATCCGGTTTACTTAACAGAAAGAGAAATTTTTCATATCCTCTGTATACTCAGAAAAATANTTCGTAGTAAAAATACAAATAAAAAACATATCTAAACTTTTATTTTTGATTAAAAAATGATTTTAAAAACAGGCTACTTGTAGAAGAGATAGAATAGAAAAGTTTTAAATAGAAAATAACTTCGAGCTTTAACATTAAAAATCAATAAATTCTATTAAACATTTATCGATTTTATAACCGATTTTATAGTTTTAACGCTTAAATATTTAACGAAAAAAGAAAAACGACAGCGTAATTATTATTTATGTCCGTAAACAAGCTAGCTTTTTATAGTAATTTTCTTGAGCTAATTTGCTTTAAAAATCTCCGCCATTTTTCATATAATTACGGAGGAAATTTTAGAAAAATAAATAAATAAATAAATTTAAATAACTGGATATCAAATTTTAGAGAAATTTGTACTTTTTTTTTATATTATTATTATTATTATTATTTTTATTATTATTATAATTTACCAAGAAGACAAAACAGATGGAAAGCGAAATAGAAGAAATTCGATGCGTTAAAAAATGAAAACTTACTTCAATTGGCAGAGATAAATGTGATAGATATTCGCACATTTTGAAGTTTAATCGAGGACGTACGCTAATTGAGCGGGACCTGAACCTTTTTATTTTTAAAAAATGGCTAAAGCAAATGAGCTATTTAGAAAAAAAAAAATTGGCAGATGTCAAGAAATTCTCCTTAATATCTGCCATATTTATAAAAAAAATTTTTTTTTTTTTACAAATTTCGAATATAATTTATTAATATATTGAAAATTATTTTTCAAAACTTATAAATTTTTATATTCTCATTTAAAAATTCGATTTTTTTAATATTAAATTTATGTAACGAAGCATCGTTTAAGGATGAAGCTCTTGATCCGTTCTGGTCATGGGCGCTCGAAGAGGAGAGTAAAGAAACACTTCTCTCTGAAATAAAGTAAATAATTAAGTAAAAATTTATTAATGTAATTATTTGTTTCCAATCTTTGTTCTTCTGGAAAGTTTTCTGCGGATGTCTATGATTCTGATGGATACATAACGAAATCCTCAAACGAGTAAACAACAGATCCACCTCTGTCATTGTCACCAATAAAATCTGTTAGAAATATGAATCTACAGAGTCCAATCACTTCTTAAGTTACGAAGCAATAACTAAGAACTAGTGAGAAAGGATAGAAGCTAGTTGTCATCGTAAATTATCCTTCGGGATTAAGCTCTGTTCGCTCGCAGCTTATGGAGGAAGTGGAGAGAGAGAACGGTGCTTCATCAAGCATGGAAGACCCCGTATAACCTTTAACACGTGTAGAAGAAGTAGCTCTAGACTTAATTACAGATTAAAACCTAAAGAAAACATTTTCATTAACCGAAATTCTGTACGAAGCATTACAAAAGAGGGGGGAATACGGGGTGGCAAAACACGTTTTAACAAATTCGGTTCCGTATCGTTTAATCTAGTAAATTAAATACTTTTCATGGGAAGAAAATGCAATTTAACGCCTGTGGCGCATCTCCCAGGCTGCAAAATAGTTAGGTTGCTCTTTAAAATAAGTTTTGATATCGCTTTATGTAGCCAGATCGACTTCCTGAAGAAGTGATAGTGAGACCGAACTATCCTGCCTATTTTAAATAAGTCCAGAAAGAAGGAGGAGGGAGGAAAAAAAAAATATCCTACCGTATCTTTATCGTACGATTTTTCGTATTCTTGCACGGGTCTTTTGAATTATGATGCTATTTTTCAAGTTATTATGTGTTCATATCTCTTAACAAGAACACTTTGTTATCAGATATCACAAGAATTTCATCTGGTAGGTGTAGCAGACAATACAACAAGCCGCGGGGGTAAAAAGTAAAGATAGAATTGGGCCTAAGGTCTCTTGATAGTTTTATCGTCAAATGTTACCTTATGTTCTGTATTTAATTTTTTTTCTTTGGCTTTTCCTATCTTCTTGTTCTGTCAAGAAAAGTTTTGGAGATGTTAAAAGGGATATGTTTTTTTTTTCGTAGTAAAAATACAAATAAAAAACATATCTAAACTTTTATTTTTGATTAAAAAATGATTTTAAAAACAGGCTACTTGTAGAAGAGATAGAATAGAAAAGTTTTAAATAGAAAATAACTTCGAGCTTTAACATTAAAAATCAATAAATTCTATTAAACATTTATCGATTTTATAACCGATTTTATAGTTTTAACGCTTAAATATTTAACGAAAAAAGAAAAACGACAGCGTAATTATTATTTATGTCCGTAAACAAGCTAGCTTTTTATAGTAATTTTCTTGAGCTAATTTGCTTTAAAAATCTCCGCCATTTTTCATATAATTACGGAGGAAATTTTAGAAAAATAAATAAATAAATAAATTTAAATAACTGGATATCAAATTTTAGAGAAATTTGTACTTTTTTTTTATACTACTACTTTTTTTACCGGCGGAATATAAAAAAATGTATATATATATATATATAAAAAGGAAGTGACGTCGCACCTGGCAACATAAAATATTCTGGAGGTAGTAGTAGTAGTAAAAAATAAAAAAAATAAAAAAAAAAAATAAAAACCGGTCGTAAACAGCTATAAAAACGGCAGCAATCAAACTACCTACAGGCAATGTAAATAGCTACATAGAACCATTAGAACGGTATAGAAGCTGTTTGGACGAATTACCTAAGGCTCGTTCATTTCCTTGACCCTCAAGACAATTTATCCTCATCAGGGATTAGTTTCACAGCAGCTATTTCTCTTTTGTCAACTGACTAGATTCTCAAATTGTCTGCTTTTCCAGTAAAAAATAGGGAAAAGAAATATCACATTTTACGTTCGTTTCGGTAATATCTTAGGGATATATATATATATATAAAGTTAGATGCGCTATTTTAGAGGCTATTTTCATAGATTTCTATTGTAGAAAATAACCGAAATTACTTTTCTATATATTTTCTCTTTGCTAAAATCATGTAAAACACTTTTTTTATATTTTTTTTAATCATGAAAGGAAAGTAAATTTATGTGAATCGAGAACATTTTCCTCGTTGAA